CGATTGCTCTGGCCAGGCCACCATATATTTAAAAAGCGTTACCGTAGTAGAAACAAGTGCCTTACTACTAGTAACAAAAAGAATTTAATTAGAATTGTAATTACTAGCAAAGGGATCTACTAGGACCTTTTCGCGCGCGCGGGGGTAGGAACAAGAACGCTACTAGGGTCTCCTGGCCTTACTACTAGGAGCAAGAAGCTAGTAGGAACAAAGGGCATCTCTACTAGGAACAAGAACGTTAGGAGGCTACCCTTTGAAGAAACATGGCAATGCGCTGACACGCCCCCGTTGCTTGGGTCTTGGTCCGTTTCTTCACTTTGCCAGAGAGGGGCCGTCCATGAACATGGAATTGAGTCATGTCTTCTGGACAGAAACATGTTTGGGATGTTTGCAAAAAGAGCTTCTTCTGGAAATACGTTGTATTGTTCTTATGTTTTTCTTCAAGAGAGATGTTGGAACAACAACATCGTTTGAAGAAGCCACTGGCCACCGGCACCGCACCCGTGGTAAGATGTTCACTCACCATGTTCCCCATGTCCGATCTACCCAAGCTGCCGAATCCCTCCAAAAGGGCTTCGCGCTTGTGGACCACATGTTGAGGAAAGGCATTGATAGCCACCCCAATGACCAAATGCAACCTCCTCAGTCCCTCAAAAAGATCCCCCAGATGGGGAAGAGGCTTAGAATCTGCCTGAGATGAAATAACAACTTGCCCGTGCAAGCATCCTTCTCACACAACTCCAACAAAAACCGCCGTCTCTTCCTGGTCGCCCTCTCTGTCCATGAACTCTTCATTCCTTCCTTCGTTACGGCTTTTGGGCTCCACGGCACTTTTTTGGATCCAACTCGCACCACCTGTGGCGGCTTCAAGATGTACCGCTCCTTGGTACCTCAGGCCGATGACGAAGAGTCTGCTCCATCGAGCTGCATTTGGAGCAAACCAAACAGGCACGAAGTCCAAAACACCGTCAACACAATAGCGTTGGAAGAAGATCCTGACGCCTGTCCTCTGCTCTCCTATCATCTCCTATCTAGCTATACGAATGAGTGCATTCTCAACACCCACATGGGTGTCTTTAAAGAATGAATATTGCAAAGTCATCCCAGTTTCGAATCATTCTATCGACCTTTAAATGGGCATTGAGGACATTTTCCAATACGCGAATGCCCTGGACTTGAGGTTGACTCAGTTCACAAGGTTTTGTGTATGTGGTGAAAAAGCGCCTAAAGCTCTAAAGCACTTGCACAGCAACGTGGAAGACCAAGTACCTCAAATAAGATCTATCTTTGCTCAACCTGATCTTGTCTGCGCCAAATTGAGCCACCCCGTAATAGGAGTCTTTGCATTTGCATATAGTCCAACCCTTTGAGTTTCCAAAAAACTAGGAACCAAATCATTAGCGCGAGCTATCGTGCGTCCTAGGTATTAGCTTACTTGCAGGTAGTACAGTAGCAACCTCAATCCGGCGCCTACTAGTAGGGCGGGGGGAGCGGGCTGAACATGTAACCTTCTTTCAAGATACTTCGCGTCACCGTGCGGCGCTCACCGTGGGACCCCAACAAACGAACACACACACAGACCCCCTTGAGCCGTCCGTGTGCTCGCCGTCGTCCCAAAGGCCGGACGGGTACGACTGTCGTAGCTGCCAAGCGTCCGACAGTCGGGTTGTGCTCCTCGATGATTTTGTACAACCGCATGAGCAAATCGGCATAGTCGTGCAAGGGCCCGGGTGTCCAATCATCTACACCTGCCGGTTCGGCGCATGGGCATCATGGGCATGGTCGAAAAAGGGGCCCAGGCCTGAATTGCAAGGGCTTTAGGGGCTATGGAAGACTTTTCCCAAGAGCTTGCCCAGCGTTTTTCCGCAGCTTTGAGTGACGTTTCCAAGAAGCATCCTGAGATCTGCAATGGCAGGGAAGAAGTCGCCGCAACCGGTTCCATTTACCATGCAACAGGATGGAACTTTTTCTCAACAAAAAAGACTTTTCCGAAAGGGTTCCACCTCGCAGATACAATCGTCCACTGTAACACCTCGCAAGCGATAATGATCTGCAAATTTTTGTGTCACATGTCCATATTTGACCTGTGAAGTGGCAGGACTTGTTAGAAGGAACATCGTCCTGCCACTGACCAAAGAGGTCCCCATGTCCTACCGGTTCAACGGTGCTGTTTGAACCAATTCTTGTTAACACTCTCATTATCAGATACAGTATTGTTCCATTCTGATCAGCGCTGATCAAGAATCAACCAACACCCTGGGGGTTCCTGTCCTGTTTCAAGAAGAGAACCTGTCGCTTCCACCACTGTGAACCTGCGCAGTCCTCGGTTTCGACCCCTTCGTCCGCACCTTGGAGCTTCACGTCACCCTCCTGCGCAACGCACCGGAGCAAATCGGCCGTGACCACTGCGGCCCCGAGGTTTCCTCATTTCCAAACACACTCCATTTGGAGGTCCCACCGCAGATGGATTGGCTTTTTCGTCCGTTTTTGGTCGGTCCCACCCGGGCCAAGCCCCAAAACGCCCCGTTCTCTTTTATGCGATCGGATGACCCAAAGATTCAAGAGTCCGATGGGATCGGATGAGACATGCGCTTCACTTGGACCCATCGGCGAAGGAGTCGACCTGTTTTTTGGCTTCTCTTCGGTCGACCCAGCTGACGTCGAACAAGAAGCGTCCGTTAGCGCAGCTAGAGAGGCCAGAAGCGTGCGTCCGTAGTTTCTCTCCACCATTGACGTGGAGATGGGTCTCCCCATGTCCTGTGGTTCATCCTCCTTTTCAGCCTTCTCCTTCTTCTCCTGCCAAGCTCGCCAGTCCAACATGGATGTGAGGAGAGCTCGGACCAAACATCAAAGACTCCTTTAAGATCAAATCTCCCAAAGCTTCATCACCCACTCAGCAATTTGTGCCACGAGCTTGCTACATGACTTGTCTTCCTACCTGACTTGTCACCGAAAGTCTGCAGGCGGACGGCAGCTCTCTGCCCGCTCGCCGTGGCATCGTTCTGCGGCGGGGCGGTCCTTGCTCTTCTTCTTCTTTTTGGTTCCGAAGTCAAAGACCTGCCGAGCCCAATCCGTGCAGAACACGGCGGGGCACGCGATGGGTATGGATATACAGATGGATGGGCCGTTGCCAGCAGGTTGGAGGCCATCGCTTCTAGTTAAGCTTCCCTTAAAAAAAACAGGAACCAAATGAATAGAAGCGTGAGCTATCCTGCGTCCATATGTAGTAGCTTTCTTGTAGGTACTAGCTACCTACCTTGCTACTACCTTTTCCTCTTACCGGCCTACCCTCCTCAGGCAAAAAAAATAATTCGCTCTGGATCATGCGGGTGGGCCTCAGGCTCATGCAAAAAGCTGGTCACCCTAGGCCACGTACTTCTGATGACTCAGTTTACATCAATTTTTGTTCCTTTTCGGTGCACGACACCCAACAGATTTGGATCTGCCACAGCGGCTACAGCGACGTTGGATTTCCGTTCTGGAACAGCTCCAAAGGTGTTTACTTTAGCTGATTTTGTATTTTTGACCTAAACGCGGGGGACCCTGGTTGACCACCAAAAATGAACAGAATAGACCCTGGTTCAGGGCTCCGGGTTTAGGGCTACCGCAGCCATTTGCCATTTTTTGTAGAGGACTGCGATCGTAGCGGTGCGGAAACTTCAGTCAAGGAATGTCGTGCGGTGGGTTTTCTGGTGCACAACAGCAAGCAGGCTTTGACTGGGCCGATGAACGAGTGGTTTTGGCATCGATGTGCGGGCATTCCTTCCACTTCGTTTCGCAAGGTCTCTGACTCCGATTGAGCCAGCCGTAATCTTTCACCGAAACGGGCCAATCGTGAAACGGACCAACACCGATCGCTCCGTCCTCGTGAGACTGGTCCATGATTCTGGAGATCGGACCGTCCTAGACGGTCCACAGTAATGTCAGTGCCCCCCAAACCAACGGTCTCCGGTACCTGCCTCTTCCCCCTATTACATCTGCCATTGCGTTCACCTTGACTGGGTCCCATCTCGTCACCGCTCCACATGCTCCGGGTCTGCGCGTCTGCGCAGCCTGCTCTTCTTCGTCACCCATGGTGCCGCTGGCGCCCCAAAACCGTGAAAACACGTCGGGTCTGGAGCCAAAAAGATATATCGTTTCTCGAATGGATATTGGATATCGCCAGCTGGCAAATTGAAGCGACAGCTAGGGTTCGGTTTGATGTTTTCATATTTTTCCCCAGATAGCGACAGCTATGGGGTTCTTACTTCAACAAAAAATGAGCTCGCTGCGCGCGCTTTTGAGACAGGGTGCCGGTGCCGGCTGCTGGTGCTGGCTGTGGTGCTGGTGGTGGGTGCTGTGAGCTGGCTGTGCGCCGGTGCTGGGTGCCGTTGCTGGGTGCTGGGTGTGCGCGTGGTGGAGACTGGGTGCCGGTGGTGCTGTGAGCTGGCGTGCCGGTGCTGGTGCTGGCTGTGCGCGTAGTGGAGACACGCCATGCTGTATTGCGGCGTTTTTTCCCAGTGTAAAAAAGGTTCCTGTGTGTGCTTTGGAGCTACCGCCAACTGGTGTGATTTTCCGCTATCCCCTCCATCCAAGTGTGACCTCACTAGTGACTGAATCGTTCCCAACCCATCAAACCCACCAAATGCCTCGGCTTAGCCACAAAGACTATATCCTCCTCTGTGCCCACCAAACCGTCATCAGCGCGAAACACGCAGATAAGGGGTGTTGACCACCCGACCTTTGTCCACCGACCAACTCGCCCCCACGGTCCATGTCTGCGACTCAACCAGCACTGCAGTCGAGTCGAGTAAAAAGAAAGACGACTTGATAGTGTGTTTTGGAGGAAACGAGGCGTGGTGACGAAAACAACGGACTCTCGTCTGCAGTTTGCGGTTCTGGGGATCCTAGTTGTTGGATGACTGGCTCCTGGCCTTACTACTAGGAACAAGAAGCTACTAGGGGCTCCTGGCCGTACTACTAGAAACAAGAAACTACAAACAAGATGTGGGCATATGTGGTGAACGTTCAAAAATTGACTGGCTTGCTGCGTTGTTGCATCCAGTATCCTTTCCAACCCTTTGTCAGACCTTGCCAAAGTCATTTCTTTCAACGAACCTCATTCGTGTGTCTTTCACCAAGTGAAACACAATGGAACATTTTCGCAACAATGCCGATGTTCTGTGTCACCTCTGAGTCACATTTGCGTGGTAATCATTTCCAAGCTCTTCCTAAGCACCCAGCTAGATGCCATCACAACGGGGCAGCGGCTGCCGTGCACCTTCCTGAGCGACTCTGACGTGCTCTGAGTGAAATGGTTGACTCGATCACGAACCGCTTTCAAAAAAAAACTATGGCTGTGTTGGCTCGTCCCATCTTCTATCTGCCTGAGGAAGATGTTTTCCTTCTTAAACCAGCTTTCAGCCCCTGGCTGGCTTGATTCCTGGCGCGATCTCTCCAGCATCGTTTGTCGCTTGTACCGACCACCGACCTGCGGCGGTTTTTCTTCGCTTTTCTGATCTGGCCGGAATGAACGTCAGCTGCCCCTAGCTTGAGCAAACACATAGCTCAATCTACAGTGCACCTCGTTTCTTCAGGGATTTCTTCCATGAACGGAAACAACAAAGGAACAACATCCAATTCCAGTAGATTCAGTAGATCGCTTTGCGTCCAAACCGGGGGCCGTCCCAAACTTGTGCTTCTATATACATATGTTCAAGTCTTCAGCCTTCAGGCCGCTGTCGGACCTCCTGGCAACTCTCACAAAATGGCTTAGACGTGCTTCGTCTTGCTTTCCCCTCAAGAGCTTATCCAACATTGCTGGCGCCACACATGCCATGACTTGATGGGTCTCCAATGCCATGGGGACTTCAAGAAAGTCTTTCGTAAGCGCAGGAGGTCCTGTTTCTCTTATCCAAATCGTGAACATGTGCTGTCTTCAGCCATCAGTCCGCTGTCGGACCTCACAAAAAGTTTTTTGGCAAAATTCGGGAACAAGACTTTCGTCACGTCAACCGAACATATGCAATATGCCCAAGTCGAGAGTCTGCAGGCTTCAGTCTTCAGCCCGCTGTTGGACCTCCTGGCAACTCTGACAAAATGGCTTATATAGATGTTCAGTTGTCAATACGTGCGTCATCAATTCCCCTCAAAAACTCGTCAGCAGGTCCTGGGAGTTAAAGAATCCGTGCACCAAATTTTGCTCAGCAGTTCTCAATAGTTCTGTGCTTTCCAGCCTTGTTGCTTGGAGTTCCTACCTCCACTTCCCCAAAACTTGACACCAACTTCCCCTGGTTTCTGGAAGTAACGGTACTTGGAAGAGTTGGCTTGCTGCATCACCGGAATTGTGGGCAAAGGGGGGGGTTCAGGCGGTTCAGGTCCATTGAGATCACAGCGTCGTAGGTGAGCCTCAAATCGGTCTGCCACTGCCCATAGCCCAACAGGAACTCAAAGGTGACTTCCTCGTCCAGGTTCACCTCCAGGCTCTCATCAGCCTCATCCTCGTCATCCTCTTCTTCGGTTTCTTCCACGAAGAATGGTCCCCTGATGACATCTTTTGAAGGCTTGCAGAACTTGGACACAAGCGTGCCCAAGCCCTCCTTGTAGACAGTCGCCAGGCCCATGCAAGCGCAGGCCGCAGGGATCACAAGGCCCAAGCCTGGCAGCACGCTGTCAAGCTCGAGCATGCTGCACCAGCCACCGACGACCCCCAGGGGCAGGAAGGTGGTCACCAAGTCTTCAGTGCTGAACCCCATGTCACTACAGTTCATCTCCTTCAACACCTGGAAAAAGCTGCGGCCCAGCACTATTCGCTTGGCGATCGCCTCCAAGTCCCTGGTGTTTGCTCGTTGATCGCAGGCCTCCAAGAGCTTGTCCGAGTTTTGCATCAGCAAGCACACGCAAATCCGCCGCAGCTCTCGAAAAGGGTCACTCTCGTCCACTTTCACCTTGAACAGCACCTTAATGAGTCTCTGAAAGTTTCCCATGTGCTGCGGCCGGGAATCCCAACCAAAGCAGAAGAAACTCCGCAACCACTGATCTACGATCTTCACGAGACTTTCCTCAAAGCCTCGTTGTCTCAGGGCGGCAAAGGTGACTGGGCAAAAATGCCGGTAGCTCCTCAGCACCTGACGGGCCTGCTCCTGACTGCGTTGCTGCCCATGAGTTTCGTCGTCAACCTCGGGCCGCAGCAAGCGCTTCCAATAGAACTTCTCTAACATGCGGATCAGCAATGCATAGGTCTTCATCTCCGACTCCGTCATGGCCAACAAATTTGAAGAGAAGATGGTCAGATCATTGTCATAATCAAGGTACTTGTACTTCTTATAGAGTGCAAGGTGTACTCGTCGAAGTTGATGGCGAGCACCGATGAAGGCGTAGTTGGGATGTTTCAGCTGAAAGTGGTGGGCTTCCCCTCCATAGACCTGACCAATTGGGCCATCCAACGCCAGGGCGCGACCGAGGGTAATTTCCACTGGTACCACGTGAGGGCCTACTCGGTCTCGCTTGTAGTCTGTGCAGGCATCATGAAAACCGGAGACCAAATCTGCCCAGCAAAACTCAAGATTGTTTTTTTTGGTGAAGCTGCCGCGTTCCGGGACCTTGAACTTCTCCTGCAACTTTCCTGAGACTTGCCCCTTCTTTTGACTTAGGATGGTCTCGATGGAGTCCAGTTTGCCCTTCATTGCACAAGCCATGTTGCCCAGAGACGTTTGCAGCTGGGTCTTCAGAATGTTTGTTACCTACTTTTAAATGTATAGAGATCTAGGCCCCAGGCTACTGAGCCAGTGAACTTGACTATAATAACCGTTCCATGAGATAGATTGCACCTTTGAATTCCAACACAGCCAAAACTTCGAACGCGAACAAGCTTGGCTGAGATTTTGGAGCAATCATGCCATCACCCCACAAGGCCATTGTCCATTTGGAGCCAGGCGAAGCAAAAAGAAAAGAGGCCACAGGGTGAACAATCATGGGACAAGTGCTTTTTCCAGTAACATCTCCGCATGAGCAACATCGTCCACGTCTTCAGCCCAGCGGCTTCCCTTGCTGCAGCAACGCGGCCACGCCCGAGTCCCATGGAGCTGCCATGACGCCTGTGGCCACGCCTGGTGCCGGGCCGCCACAGCGCCAGGTCCGAGGGCAGAAATCGAAACAACAAACACGGGCAAAAACATCGAACATGGTACAGGCAACTGACCATGAAATCATCGGAAAATCCCATGCGGGGACGAGTGACTTGGTATGACATGGTCCTTTCCCTGGACATGAGGAGTTGAGGACATGAGGCGCTTTGTGTATGATCAACATAGATTTTGTCGCAGATGTTCCACGTGTGTCCTGTAGAGGTCGAAAGGGCGCACAAGGTTTGAGCACGAACTGTGCAGGTTGTCTGCGCCCAGTCTGCACAGTTCTGACAGGGGAGCTTCCATCAGCTAGCCGCGAAGCAAGCCACTGATTTTGTATCCAATGTTTAGTCCGAGGTCCAAGTAGTTAAGTGCACCTACATCGAAGCTGAAACGAGTCAAAGTCCTGAGTCCTCACCTACTAAATACAAAAATATCTTAAACAACACCACCTGTTCTTGTCCATGCAGCCAAAATATTTTAAAGGTGCCATAAGGTACCCTTCTTAGGACCTGAGTGGTGTTTCTGATCCACCGATGCGAGCTGCTACATTCCACCCCGCATCATCGTCCTCACCTTCTGCCACTTGGCGGGTTCGGTGGTCAGCGTTCCCAGCAAGACCACCTCGTCCACCATGTGCAACTCGCCCATGTCATAGAGCTTGCACCTCGTCGGGACGCGTTTCGCTCAACGCGCCAAAAAGGCAGAAACACGCCTGGAAGTTGGGACTGAGGAGTGAGATCTTGTTGAAGTATCGACCTGGAAGAAGGAATTTTGGGGATCCTTCAGCTATAGAATTCTATAGATTTAATATATAGTCAACGGGAAATTATACCTTTAGCACATCCCAAAAGAACAAGAGGCATAATCGTACTGGTAGTGTCTTTTTGAAGCTAGACTGTTTCTTGCTGTACGTCCATCTTAATCTTGTAATGTGCTTTAGTGGTGTTTCTCCAAGAGTGGGCAATCACTAAGGGACCCATAGGAGAAGCCAGCGCTGCAACACAATGGTGTGGGCCTCTTTCTTTCCAGTGGGGCAACTTTTGCTAAAGTCAACCAGCGTCTTTATCATCTTTCATGGGCCGCCCCTGCGCATCCTCGATGTCTCAAGTGGAGGCTCTCTTCTGGAAGCATCCGAGGACATGACTTGCGCGTCTGAACCGTCAGAATTACCGGATGCCCCGGGCAAGCAGTGGACCAAACGCCGAGCACCTCGGATCGCGGAATCAACGGATCGCGGTCAGCAGATCGCGGATCTTAGGGTCGATCCCGAATCGTTCCGTCGCTGCGGAGCCGGTGAAAGAGGTCTTTCGGTGGCAAACGGGAAGAGCAAAGGATGCCTATCCGGATGGCTTTGCGTTTGGCATGTGCAGATTCATGATCTGAACAAAGTATAATGGTAATTGTAGTAATGTAACCATTGGCCGGTGACCTACTGCTCTTTTGGGCGGTGACTTGAACAATTCGTTTTCAGCCGAACTCGCAAATGCGGCACATTTGGCAATATCAACTGGTCGAAAGGCACCTGACAACTTTCCAGGTTTTGGTTCTACTCTTCCTATAGTTTGACTGTTTACACTTGCGAAGGCCGCAATTTTTTCGGGTCTTTATGCAATCTCCACGAATGCATCAGAGTGCACCGGGGAGTTTGCAGTCTTGAGGAAAGGTCCAACAACTACTTTGCCAGGAGTCTGGAGGTATCAGCCAAAAGGAATAGAACTTATATCATTATAATGTCAAACAAATAAGAACACACCGCGGTGTTTTTAACATGCTTGCCAGCAACCCCACCTTATATATTACATTTACTCTCTCCTTTCGGCGTCACCAGTCACCATCGACACATGCTGGGCGACCCGACGGGCCCATCTGCCTCGCATCCACCGCAGGATCCGGGTGCCAGGAGAGTATCCATATGACCTGAACTAGGGCCGAAATTTCTGGGGTACCCATGGCATGAACTGATTGCTCCTTATAGGGGTAGGGGTCCCTGGGTCCCTCTGGTGCTGGCGGTGAAGCTGGCCGGGGGCCGAAGCCGCAGGAAATAGTGCTGCTGTGCTGTGACATCCAGCTTGTGTTTACAGCAGTTGCAGGGCTGCATGCAAACACATTGCCCCTGAATAAATCGCAACAGCAAGTCCAATGAAACATGTGACTCACCTTACCAGCTTCAGTTTCCCACCAGCTTCAGGTCGTGAACCATTGAGACATTGGGCCCAAGCCTCTTCACTGATTGAAACCAGCTGAAACCTGCAACATCATCCCAGCCTTCTCACCTCAGCTCGTCGACAAACCCATTGACTCCAATCGTTTCCGGAGTGCCTCCCGAACGCAGCGAGCAGCGCAGCTGCAGGTGGGTGGAGGGTGGCTGTTCCGGTGACCGGTGCGGCGGCTCATTCCGACCTCTTCGGCAATTCCTGGTGACCACAGGTCAGCGGTGTGGCACCATGCTCATGCCCATTCTCTCTCTCTCTCTCATTCTCTCTCTTCATCGATTGAAACCATTCGGCGCCCCAAAAACCCGACCTCTGGCTGTAGGCACTCATCATAGATGGCCTCCCAGGCCGTTTAAGCTGTCGGTCACCACCAATGACTCACCCACACCATCGGTGATCACCATCGGTGTGTTTTGCTCTCTTGGCACGTCCGTCAGGCGCGAACTCCCATCCCAGTCTGCAAATGCAACGCTGCGTTCGGCATGACTCTTCATCTTCGTTTGGTCTGACTCCCGCCCCGGAAGACGCAAAAAAACACATGGATTTCTGGATTCATGGACGGGAAGAAACTGTCTTTTCGTGAACCGCCGATGAACTTCTGTTCCAACAAGCCTTACACTCGGACGAACACATCACATGGAAGTGGATGGCATGGCCCCTGTGAAGACTACTTTCCTCTACACACATGTGGTTTTTCCATTTCCATGTGACGTGTTCGTCGGAATGTAAACACATTGCTTTGATCTCTAGACATCTCTAGACCCTACGTATGGCCCATTCTGTTGCTTTCTCTTTACGGGTTTCCGCAGCATCGTCTGCCCCAAACCTCCAGATCCTCGGCCGCGGATGGGACTGGCTCCTGCAGGCCAGAGCCTCAAGCGCAGACGATTTCCTGTGGAAAGAAGTTGAGGAAGAACGGGCAGCACATATGGCTTAGCTACAAAGTATGAATCAGGTCACCAACTCGGATTGGGCCGACCTGTTAGGCAAGACCAAGGGCCACCATCGAGTGATCCAAACTAACGATCGCAACCACGGAATATCTGTGAACATCGATGCTTCGTTCATGGCAGTATGGAATTGTTTGTTCGATTGGCCCAGTATAGACAGGACTCAAGAAATGCAAAGGATCTACGGATTGTGGGAGCAACTGACTGATCATCTGACTGTTGATGGGCAGCGTTCCACCACCTTTGCAGTTCCAGCAAACCCCATTTCACAATCCGCATTCCCCCATACGGCGGATCTGGTGCCCGGAATGACGCCCTTTCAGAAGGTGCAGGTGCCCTGGACCTGCAAACCCTCAAATCTGAAGCCAATCTTGAAGGAATAACTTAAGCCTCTTCAGTGCTCTCATGCTTGTTGGGACTCTTGACTGGTGCGAGAAAAAGAAACACATATGGAATGGATGAACATTCCAGAGTGAACGGACCATATAGAGCTTCCTGGGATGTACATCCTATGGATAAAATGTGTCCGGTTTGGTTTTGATAGCTGCAGGGTTGAAGAATGAGAGGAGCTTGTGTTTTGGTTCGATTCGACAATCACTGAACCGGTGTTCAGGCCCAACATTGGCCCAAGCTCCAAATTCCTGGAGTGTGTTTTCAACACATCGAGGGCAAAGCACCACACAATCCCTTATATTTCCTTTTCACATCTCTGCATGTCCGTCGAGAAATAACCCAACACATCGCAACTCACCTCTGCTGCCGGTCACTCATCTTTTTGACCTCCTTTTGGACCAAACCGGACCCAACAGCCACGAAAGCAAGCCCAACAGCGACCCGTTTCCCGCTTCCGCTCCGCCGTGGCCGAGGAGCGTTGCAAGTAGCTCAGGGAGATGGACGTCACCGACGCGTTGGCCGCCACCGGCCTGGACCGTGACGCCCGGACGGTGGGGAAGGACGTCGCGAGGCGAGACATCGAGAGGTGTGGGTGGAAAGTGAAAAGGATTTTTGAATACCTATCCCCCAAGGACGTGGAGAACACTTCCAAGGGGCCAAGGACTACGAGGCCTCGACTTGTCGCACTTGATCCAGGAACCGAGAGGTCGTTGCGACGGGACGCCCCGTCTGCCGGGGTGGTAGTAGCATCGCCACTCGAACGGAGCGTTCGGACGCGACGATGGCCCGGGGCGAACCTGGCCTTACTAGGAACAAGGTACGCTACGAACGGAGCAAGTGTGGAGGGTCTTGGCCCAACGAAGTCTCCGTTCTCTCTCCAACGCCCCGTGACAACCATTGGTCGACCGATTCAACAGCCAAGTGGGGGCCGGTAGGCCGTACCAAGAGTGACCTTAAATAGGACCCGCAACCTGGGGTACCGAACTGGGACAGCCTATAGGGTTCTTCAACCTAGGCCCTTTTACTTGTTGGGCTTTCCTGGGAAGTCATCGCCAGCCCATCGTCCGAGGGGGGACGGCGTAGTGATTGGTAGTGTCACGCTAACCAACCCAGCAGTTCACAGCCCCAAGAACATGGTCAGGATGTGAGCCTGCCTGGTGTTGAAATGACAACAAAACTCCCTGCGAAAAACATCACAAACTGACAAATCAATCATCCTGGCTTCGCAGTAATATTGCTGTGGTTGACTCACGGGCATCCGCACTCCTCTCGGAGGACGCCGTAGCTACTGGAGGTGAAGATAGCCTAGCAGGGAGGTGCCCAGTGGATAGTCGATAGTGAAGGTTAAGGACACCACCCCAAGCAAAACAGGTGCGCATCAATGTAGGCTTAAACTCCTGGGGAATAAACAATCACGGCATTCTCCCAAAAATGCGATTGTCAGAAGCTTTCATTCAATTGGCGCCTTGATCCGCCCAGATCCCAGCATCTGCCACGACTGCCACAAGTCACAAGTTGGGAGCCCTTACATTTCTCAGTTTTCACCACAGCCCGGTCGGTTTCCGCGCAAAAGACATGACCCACTTGTTGCAACCGGTGCATCGACTGCTCATTCCCCACTTGGACCTGAGAAAGCAGTGAAACACATCCGTCAGCCTTTACAGGTTCTTGAGGATGGCAAGCTCTTGACCCCACACAAAAACTCTTCCCAACCAAACCAAACATGTCTCTTGCCATACAAGAAGTTTCAGCCGCAGCTGGACACCTGGACACCTGCCGTGATCACTGCAAACGATGTGGGTCAAAGACATCCAGGTCGGCCGAACGATCGGCCACACGGGGCTTTGACCATGCCCGAACGTGATGTTCGTAGCCATGGGCTCCAACCTAATAGCGATGGCCTCCAACCTAATAGTTTCTACCAGGGGCCCAGAAACCATCAAACACCTTGTTTTCCCTAGCAAGAAACACGGTTTTTGTGTGTGAAAACCTTTGTTTTTCATGGTTTTGAGGGCCCCTGGTAGCTACTAGTAGACTCAACAACCCATCTCCTCACAGTCGTGGGTGGTCTTCTGAATTCCTCAGACCATCACTGCACCTTCTTCACTCGGAAGATCTGCAGGCCCTGGCGACAGCCGCCCTGGCGGCTTAAGCAGTTGAAGGGCTTGAAATCCGGTCGATGGTGCTTGGTTGATTCGAGTGCCGGGGCTAAGGGACGTTGAGAATTTAGAAGACTTCTACATATAGGACACTGGATACGTGTGGCTGCCCACCCTACCAGTTAATGGAGATCTCTTGCGGGTACCTCACAAAATCTATCAAGCGAGCACCTGCCCAATGTCCATGTGACGGAGTGCGTACTGAGCCGTCATCGCAACACACACCTGCGAGGACGGCTACCATGTCGATTTGAACCTTCCAACAGAGGTTGTTCTGAACCCAACTGTTCGGCTATCCCAGTTCGGGGTCCTATTTACGGTCACTGGAGACACTCTCTTGGTTCCCCCCCAATTCACACCAGACCATGGTCGATTGCATAAGAAAGTAGGATCACTTCAACCCATAGGCTACAACTGCGAGCCTAATTCCCCTCCCCCTTTCGGTGTCCCTCGTCGGACCTTCCGGGACGGTCCCTTGAACGCACCGCAGCGCACCGCGCCACGCTGCGTTCCGCCGCCTTGCAGGGCCTGGCGTCGCAGAAGCCGACGCCGTGGTCGTCCAGCTGCACGACCCAGATCTCGGCACCTGCGTTGGTGGTGGGCGCCCGAGGAGTTGCCCCGTCCGCATGGACGGTATCAGAGGCCACGATTTTTTTAAAGGATTTTTCCGTTTTTTT